ATATGTATATATGTTTGTGTGTGAATACATATACGATATCCTCTACTTTTTTTGTACATAGATCTCTCTGGACTATATGTAAGCAAAGAACACAAGTCAGTTCTTTATCCTGGTACAAAGTCAAGGTGATTTATATAAAGCATGAATTAACATCTTTATTGAATTTGAACTTGCTTTGGTAGGAAAACTACTATTTCCTAGTCACTCAAAGCTAGTAAAAGCTGTTAAAAATAGAAAACATTTTCATGGATGAAATTGAACTAGTCATGATTCAGCTCTGGGTTATGAGGCTAGTCATTAATTAGCCATGATTTAAGTGGCCAGTTGATTACTAATTGAAAATACTATACTTTTATGAAACATATTTGCCTACTTTAGAATTTGGAAATAACATTCTAAATATTCCCTACATTTTTGTTACTCAATGTAGTTGTTAGCCCCTGAGTAAATTTTACTGCCCTCTAGCTAGAGAATAGAGTAAGATATCATGGATAAACATGGTAAAACTCTTAGTCTTAATTACAATAAATTCTAAATTGCAAATATCAGGAATGTTAAAGTAGGTGTGTTCAAACTGCAGTTCCTGCAAATGGCAATGAAACATTTTTTCTGCTGTAACAGACCTCAGCAGCCCTCCAGGATGACTAGTCAGCCCTAAAAAATCTAAATTCTTCTACATTAAATGTTTTATATTACACATTTTACATATTAAAATCTGACTATGAACATGGAGAGCACCAGTTTTTGTCTGCAACATTTCATCTCCCCCTTCCTTAGCAGTATGTTACTATTTGAAATATTTGTGCTTGGAGAATACATTTTTTTAACCCAGATGATTTCCTTCTAAGTTCAGTGTGCTCCTTCTGCCTGCTGCTGCTTGACCCTGCTGTAGAAAGTTGCAAGCAGTTCCAACAACAGGTAAAAAGACATATTTCAATGGGTAAGGCAGGCACAGCCACTACTCAAACACACTTTTTCCAGACAAGAGAAGTGTCCAGTGCATAGCTACACAACCTGAGGTCAGGTAATGCCAAAACCCCTCAAGTTATTCAAGAGAATGTAGTGGCAAAACAGAAAACAGATCCCTCAAGATGTGCAAAGTGCTGCACATAACTGCACCAGACCCCATTGCAGCAACAGAACTGTACAGACCACTCTAAAGGCTCAACATCTCATTTTCATACTGCATTACCTTTGTTCTTTACCATAATTATGAACTAGGAAGAAAAAAACCCATCCCAAACCAATTAGAAATACAAAGAAAACCATGCATAATGCTTGAATTAGACAATTATGTCCTTCATGTGCCTTTCAGGCCCACATGTTTCCAGTGTAGCTCTGTCAGGCTTATAAAAATATATCCCTCCTGTCCTCTGGAAACTCAATCCATTTCAATCTGTAATGTAAATAGTTTCTTTTTAACACGCAGTGTGTGCTGATTTCACCTTAATTATATATTTCCCATTGCGAGAACTCAAACTGTGGGATACTGGGAAAGAATTTAACCAGCAGCCTATAAAGAATAGGGGCTGAAGCTTGGCTTCCATAAACACCTCATTAGCCAGAGTCTGTACTGTATGTAAAATGAGCTAATGACTTTTAAATGAAGTTGTCAACCCATAACCTAATAATGCGGAAATCTATTTCTCTATAATAGTAACAAGATATAACACATTTTTATCTCTACAAATCAACATGAAGCTATTGGAGTACACAGATCTTGGTTGGTCGTCTTGAAACATTGATCTTTAGTGCAATCATAACACTAATACCACGAGTGGTACTGATTGCAGCATAAATTTCCTAATGGACACAAGATGATGGTTTGAGGAAAACAACTTCAAGTTCTGGATATAAACCTATCTCAACTTACTAAAAATGAAGTTAGAACCATAAAATGACTGCTAGGTGGTTATAGGATCAATCACACCTGATAAAGAAATGGCCAGATTCCCATTTGAGTTTACTGTGAATGAAGACCATCATCTGCCTTAGCAAAAATCACCATTACAGTTTGCATTGACTTGACAGGTTTAACAGTAGTTCATGAATGCAGGACTTTCATTACACTCCCACTGAAGCAGAGTAAATGGCCATGGAGTCAAACAGAGGTTGCACAATATATCCCTTAATTGGCAGGGGGATTGTGGTATTCCTATCCATCAGGCGACCCCTCTGCAAGGGTTAGGACCTGATCTTGTTGCTGTGGGTTTGGAGACGTGTGTGCACTGCAGGTGAAGGTCTGGTTTGCTGTGAGAGCAAAAGGTTCCCATTCACTGTCAGACCACTAACTCACTTTCACTGAGCACCACCCTAAAAGTGATTTAGAGATCATTTGTGAATTTATAAAAATCAAAAAAGACTCTTAATTCTTGCAAGCGTTCTCTTGACTCTAAAGAAACAAGACTTTAAAATGGACTGATTTTAAACATCCTTCCATTAAAAAAAAAAAAAATCTGATGTTCATAACCTCATCATACCCATCACAGAAGCTTTTAACTTTCCAGTCAGCACTGGCATATCTTGCAAGGGCCTGGATCCCAATTAGCCACCAACATCTGCAGTTCCAAAGGGAGGTAGTCAGCAGGCCTGCTGACTTCCATGTTGCAGGGTCTTTGCAGTGAATTTTTTATCTGAGGCTGCAGCTACTCCACACTGAAAATTTGCACATATGGGCTTCATCCTCTGTGCCACAGCAACAACTCATAGGACAGGCTGAAGCACCTTCATACAGAGGGTGCACGACCACCTCTTTGTAACTACCCCAACCTCCCTGGTACCCACATCAGCTTTCTCTGCAGCAAATGCAATTAAGATGAGGGTCCCTCCTGCTGTTCCTGTTTGATTAGTGAGGACAGCAGTGACATTTGCTCATTGTCTTCATGCTTGGTCGCTACATTCTTTTGGCTGGGAGGGCTCAGTGGCTGTTCCCAGGGTGGCAGGCAGGTATGCCATTTCCACCCCTTGGCTGGGGATATGTGGTCAGGCACTCCCTGACTGCACGCTGCTTGTAAAATCAGCCACATTTCCTAAGGGCAAAAAATGTGACAGGGTATTGTACAAGGTGAAATATAACATGGTGATGTGTGTGACTGTGGTAGGGAATTTATGAGGACAGATCTTTCTGTGTTGTTGGATCTGAGGGAACTGCCATCAGGCAGGTAAGGTTTGGCCCTCTGTGAGAAATGGATGTTTTAAGATCTCTTTGAAGGTATCAGAGTTATGATGTGTTATGGCCAAATTACTGGCTCAGTGCTGAAAAGAGAAGTAGTATGCAGTGAAATGTACACTAGTTCCGACCGCTGGAAAGCAATTACTACTACAAGTGAGCAGAGAAGCAGTTAATAGTCACAGCACCATAGTGGGGAGCTTTGCCAAAATTTTCAGCTAAGCCAAAGTCCTGAACCAACATAATACTTGGTCTATTTGTCTCATTTACTGTGCTCTTCTCATCCCCCTTACTCCATCAGAAGCAAACAATGTCAATAACAATTATAGCCCTAGCAGTTACATCTAGAAATAAATCAATATTCAAATGCACATTTTCAACAATAAGAGATGTGAAAAGATTGTACAATCAGCATTTGGCACTCATTCCTACTGTACTCTGAAACGACAGGTTAAAAGAAAAGTGGTTTATATGTTAAAAGGGGTCATATAATTTATTTCATTCAGAGCAATTAATTTTTTACTTACAAGACAGCTTTCCATGAAAAATACTTCTTTTTCTAAAACATTTCATAGCCCTATAAAAGCAAACCCCATTTCTTATAGCTTCCGAGCAAGACTTTCAGACCAATTATCCTATTCAGCTTCTCCCTTCCTTATAATTGGTAATTTAGCTTGCTATATAAAACACAATTAAACCTTGTTAAGAGAAAAGCTGTATACACATGGAGCTCTAGATGCTGCTAATTCTTAAAACTTAGCCATTCTTAAAACAGGTATTCTAATGTACTTCACCCTGATATAGCTTAGTTATCACTTGCATAACCATTGAAGTGTTCTTGAGTAAATTGGAATTTGCTCATTCCCAACTATGTCAGCAAAAAAGCATTTTGTTTTCATCTGTGCCTAAGAGGTAATATCCAAACATTATTGATTGGCCAATCACCACTTTATCTTGCACAATTACATTTCTTTCTCCTATTGCAATGACCATCTGTCATACCTGTCTATGTATATAATCTACAAATGTATGTCCTGCTGCAGAGAACTCAAATGCTATGGCTGTGCACAGGTATTTTATATATATACAGGATTAAACCCAAATCATAGGGAAGAATTTAAATCACATGCAGTCCAGAACAGAACAGAGACATTTAAGGAGGTAAGGAAAAATGATTCAGCTTTCAGGTAACTGAAACTTAAATAATTTTAAGCAAAAAATAAAACTTATAAGTATTCTACATAAATATATCAGGAAAAATAACATTTTTCCTTTGGGTAACTCAGTTAAACAGCAAGCAGACTTACATTGGCAGGTACTCATTTTAATTATAGTGTGATGACACTTGCTAGTTTAGAAAATGAATCATATGGTTGCACAGGAATTCAGTCCTTTTGCCTTGGCTATATTTGTAGACAGATAGAATTCTAAAAGTGAAACAGACATTTAATTGTTCAAGGGTTACATGATGCACATTTATTCAGTAGTAATTTCAGGTTATCTTCTCCATTTCTTTCCCTCTTATTAAGAGACCTGACAGCCTTCTTACAGCACGGAGAGTAAGAGAGAATGGCATGCAAATCTAACACACTTTCAGGTAGAAGAATATTTCAGTAGTCTAAAATCATCACTGCAAGTATCTTAAGTCTTCCAGAATTCAGTAGACTTAATCTAGGATGCAGTTTAGCACAAGGAAACAATTCACAAGATTTCTGAACAGGAACATTTTACTCTATCAAAGGACCATAATTTAATCCTGATGCAATACATTCAGTGAAGGCAATGAACTTGCACAGTACAAAGTCTTTAAAAACCTGGCACACTGACCTACCTTTATGTGACAGACGTAACCTTGGCTGCCTCGTATCTGCTGCGTGACATCCAGCCGGTAGCTCTAGTAACAAGCCATACAGTGCCAGGATTAGAAGGTCCTGAGCAGATGCCATCCTGCCCAAGATAAATTTCTTGCTCTCTTCACTGAACTGCTGCTGTTTGTTTGTTGTTTTGCTCCAACTTCCACTTCCACTTTGCCAGTGCAGTTAGATGTGTCTCTTTGGTCAGTTTGTGGGGTGTCTCTGTGGGAAATTCAATGTTCATCAGAGCAGCACACAGCCTCAGCTAGCCATTTGTCAAGCTGCGCAAATGTCATGTAAAAATATTCCCTCCCTAGGACAATTGTTTATAAAGTGCAAGGACATTCCAAGGCGTTACTCTGCAGTGTTGTGTCTTGAGCTGTCTTTAGTAACTCTGCCAGTGGATTCAGGAAGAAGCTGTATTTTCAGTCCCTCCTGCAAGGCAATTCATTCAGAGAAGGAGGGAGGGAGGGGAAAAAAAAAAAAAACCACACGGAAAAAAGGAGAAAGCACCCTCCTCCTTGGTGCTCCTCAGAACTCAGCCCCTTGCTCTGACTTGCCAAACAGCTAGTTTTAATTCACCTTTCACCTTTGCTAATTAAAAACAAGAAGTGCCATTCCCTCCTGGAGTTGCAGGATCCACCCAGCGGGAAGCCGGGCTGTCAGGCTGCTGTATTCACTGGGAAAGTTCAGGGAGGGTTTAGGCAATGTACAGTCCTAGCTGCTTCTAGGAAGCGTTTTAATCCACGTGCCGTGCACTGATTCCTCAATTGCTTTGTGGTTTCGTGTTGTAAAACGCCAGGAGAAGGGTCAGAATTCCTCCTGTCCCTCCCTTTCAAAAAGTCATTTCAGCTTTTGTTCCCAGCTCAGTTTTAGAGGAGGATCAACCCTTGCATTAACTATTTAAGTACGTTATCACTTAGTGTCGTTAAACAGCATGCTTAAGTGGATCAGGTTTTGTAAAAAGAGTATAGCTGTATTTCCTCACTTTAAAGAAAAAGGATCTGCTTTTTACATTTTTTTCCCCCTTGTATGCTTTTACACAGTGGCATCTCCCCTTTACATTTTAAATGTCTCTGAGTCTGGAACCTGAGGTCATCTATATATGTCAGTAAAATTATTTATCTGTAGATGCCTGTAGGATTGGGCAGTATTTAAAAAAATATTAAAGCCTGATCAACGCACTGTGATGATTAAAAGCATCAGATTTAGAAGTGTCAAGCAGCTACCTCTTACACTGCTAACAAGTACCAGAAAACTTCATCTCTTTTTTCGCATTTGTAACTTAAAATATACCCATGGCAAGAACTAGGTTTTTATACATCAAAACTACAGATGTCTGGAATACATTAATTAAGGAATAAAGTTCTATGTAATTAAGATCTCATGCATATAATCATTTAGGATTATGCAAGGTGCATTTTAGACATTAACAATTGCACCATTTTAATAGGATGAAGCATTAAAGTCATGTAAAGTCTTTATAATTTTCATTGTTTTTTACAGAAAAAGAAACACAAAGAAAGGAAAATGAAAACTAATATATGCATTTGACAATAATGCACTCGAAAAAAAAAAAACTGGTAGTCAACCAGAGATAATAATATCTGGAGAGAAAGATTTAATAAGACATGTCTGTATGCCAGCAAACTGAAAAGAACCCAGAACAATAATATAATGAAATGCTAATAAATGTAATAGCAGGATACATAGATGGGAGAGGACAGATCCGTTCAAGAAGAATAAAATACATGAACTACTAGGACAGAGAAAAAAAATGCAGCTGTGGTGAAAGGACAGAAGTAAATCATCAGAGTGCCCAAGGACTCCTGGAGGCTGCTGTATAATCAGGAGCGGGGAGCAGGTCATGTCTACCTGTTAGTTCTCCAGGAGCAGGTCATGTACACATACCTGGGCTTGCTTTGAACCAGCTGGAAGCTGTGCCAGCAGCAGCTGAACCTCGGGAGCACCAGCTAAATCACACGGCTATTTGCTCCAATTCTTGCACACAATTGCTGGTTGCAGTGGATTTTATGCTGATGTGCCAGCTGTCTGGGAATAGCTCAGCATGAGTACTTGAGATACTGTCAGTGGAGAAGGCAATGCAGGCTCTGCCTGCAAGCACAGACCTCAGCAGGGATGAGTTTGTATCCACCTGATGGGATTGTTATTACTGGCACCTTTCTGTGCTACTGAGGCATACAGGTGTTCTGCCTTTGGCCATTAAGATCTGCTGTAAAGCAGCATGATCTGGTCCCTGTCAAGGTTAGTGAAGGCTCCCCTTTGATTGTGACACTGTGAGCTCTTATTGAAATATTTGCATTTTTCCTAAAAGAAAACCGAAACCATCTCACAAACACACAATTAAGATATTTCTCAAAGACTCATTCTCTGTCATCATAAGCTTACAAAATGTAAACAGTTCTGATTCTGTGGTAGTCCAAATGGATTTTTTTTCTTTGAAAGATCTTGTTGTGGAAAATTCAATACTTTTTCTTATTTATGATATGTACTTTCAAAAAGTACACAAAAATCCAAATGTGAGCTCACACTATGAAAGCTAAAACCATATTCAGTGAATAAAGCAAATATTAGTGCAGTATCTCAAATCTTGTCTCTCTCTAGAATTCCTCTCCAAGCTGCTATATGGTGTTATTTATTACTTTTCCTGGGCTTCAGCTGGCATATGAGATGCTTAACAGACTGAATAGGTACACTTTGGTTATCCTGAGATGGAACCAAAAAGGTTACTGTGGCGAATCCAAAACAATTTCCCCAACATTCAAGTTCTGTTTTCATTTTCCAACAGGGGAAAGGGAGCTGGAGAGGGAGCACAAGTGTGCTGCTAGAAGCTGTGGGCCTTGTTTTGTATTTAGATAAGATGCAGGGTGCAGCAGGTCTACTCAAACAAATACACGCATACAAATAAGGGCAATTCCCCCACCAACCTGAGCTTGCATGCACTCACTTGCATTTCTACCCCCACATATCACAGCCATTACACAACTCCTTGGCTCTCTACAAACACAACGTGACCCAGGGCTGGAGCTCCAGAGGAGTCAGAAATACCCAAACAAGCTGATTTTCATATTTGTGCCCAAGGACAAAGCTTTTTTGTCTGAAATCTGATTCTCAAGCAGGGTGGGCTGCGTGGGTGCCTCAGGCTCCTTCCCTGCCTGCTGAGGGAAGGGCTGGGGCAGAGGCAGAAGCTGGAGCTGCTGCTCAATGTTCAGGCTTTGGCTGTCAGCAAGAAATCTGGGAATGGCTGCTGGGCATGGGGAAAGATGCCTGCACTCAAAGTAACCTAACAATAGAAAAGGAAAATTCACACACAGGTACATGAAGAAGATAGATTTTTTTTTTCCCCCCTAAATTTGTGTTTTCACAGGGTGAATCCTTTATTTATAATTCACAGATTGCTGTGTGAGGATTGCAAGCCCTTACAACCTTACACAACAAGTTTTGCGGCAAAGCAAGGGGTGGAAAGGTACACATAATTTCAACCCAAGAGAAATGTGTGGCCTCAGGCTAGGCAGTCAAGCTCTATACCTCAGCATCTTTTCAATTTAAAAGGTACACAGTCCTGCCCCAAGGGGTTAGACTTTTTCCTATACAGTTTTAAATAGTAAGTGGAAGGATGGCAACACAGATGTTCAAATATTAGGATTCAGTCTTAGATCAGTACAAACACGAGGCCCCAAGGCTATGGAGCCCTCATGTAGTACAGTACAAGGGTCTCTGAAGAGTAAACAAGGTGGGTTTACTCCTTATTTTCTGTTTAATAAGGCAAATACAACACATCTCTGTCAAACCTGAGTTTGTTTCAGTAGTATAATTGCCATTTAAGTAAATGCTGACAGACAAGTTAAAAAAATGCCCGAAAACATGCCTGTAAGTATTTGAAAATTCAAATGCAAACCCTATATTTGATTGCCAGTGTAGAATCCCTATAATTACACTATGCTAAAGAGGAAGATGAAGAGCTTTTTTAAAAGGGAGAAAAAAAGGTTGCTGTGTACATATGCAGTCTTTATGTACAGTAAAAGAGTCCATTAAAAGAACTACAAATTAATTGTGAGTTGCTATGTGAAGTCTGTGAACCATAGTTTGATTTGCTACAGCTGCTGCAGATCCAGAGCAATCATAATGAAATTGTTCAGCCTGTAAATCTAAGAACTCTAACACAAAATACTTCTGACATATTGTGTGAACTGGTTTAAGTTTAACTGATAGAGTGAAATGTAAACGCAGGAGCATGACATAAAGAAGTAGATCTGCAGCTACTAGTACTACTAACAAATTCTATACATTATAACCATAAAGCAAAATGAAATGTTTAGAAAATTTAAAGCTGGGGTGGTCCAAGATTTGCCATAACCATAACTAGAAACCAGGTTTAAAATTTACAAAACTGCTTCTTTCTTCTGATGACAATATACTGAACCAAAGCAGGAATTCTCTCTTTTTTTCTGTCTCTGACTATGACCAGATCTAAAGAAGGTGAGCAACCCCAAAAGGAGCTGTGTGGCCTTCAACAAAGTTATTGGCACCTGTGTTTGCATTAGTATGGTACCTGCAGTAGATGTAGCACACAGGTAATGATATCTCCATTTATTTAATACAAAATATTTAAAAGGCTCAGATAACAACTTATTTTACAGTTCTTCATCTGTAAATCTTTTTATGATACTACTTGTCCACTGGGCATTGCAGTTCATATTGACATGTTGACTTTTAAATTCTGTCATACAAAATTCTTATAACAGATGTAGGATTTGAAAGAAAGATCTATAATGCATCATGTAACTGTTACCTCTGCCTTATCTCTGCCTTTGAGGTGGGAATTCATGTCTGCTCCAGTCTCTGCTACAAACTGGCCACTGACTCCCTCATGTGAGCTGTACTGGGAGAAATGGTTACACCAACCTGTGTCAGGTTCTGCAGCATCCTAACTCCCAGCAAACCCCTAAAAAGTCCATATGGACACTTTTGTTAAGAGTGCTGGCGAGACACAACAAAAAACCAAAAACCTATCCTACAGGTGAGTAATCATTCAGTAATATCTTCTGGAATCTCTCTCAAGGAAAAAGGAGCAGAACCACCACTTCAATGACACCACTGACCCTCAGGAGGATATGCTAACTGATAGCAGAAGAATGCTGCCAGATCTTGCTTGTTATAAGGAAATAACAGTAAATAATAATAAGACTTGGTCCTCTATATACTTTTCAGACTAGAAGTATTTTAGGTCTTTGCTTTT